ACGGAACCTGCTGTATTAAAGTCTCATATCTGGCTTACGATGTGAATTAAGTAAAAACTTTTCCTGCTGTTGTGCGCTGAAATTAATTCTTGCGCTTGAAACCGAAATAAATATCTTACTTGATAAGCTGATATGTCTGATACGACAGAATAACAAAATTTATCAGTTCAAATCAGCCACAATACGATATCGGCATGAGTCTGGGAAATTACCTTACCACACAGAATTAATAACACTGGATAAGTATCAAGATAGCTAATATTCAAATCTTGTCAGCCTTTCTAGAATGAAAGGTTCCATCTGATAAATGAACTAACTATTAGGCATCCCAAAATTTGATTAGGCACAGCTCGAAATTTAAATACAACCTTATCGTTTTCACTCAGGGTTACTGTAAATGATTTTGGCTGTAGGTGAATTAGCTATTTTTAAGGTCAGCCGTTAGCTACAGGTCGCAGATTTGCAACTTACTTTTTTATAACGGTATATTCATGACTCATCGAGAGACGAGTTTGAACAATTACCTTCATATTTTCAGCGTCTCGGAACAGTTCCGTAAAGGCAGTGTCCGAGCATGACAGAAGGTCACTCAAGTCTTCACAGATGTCCTCGTCACTGACGACGAGGCCTCCGACGAACAGCGCTGAAAACTGCTCCGGTCAACTAAGCTTTTGCACTACGGCGCTGCTAGCAACTGACCATTTTCGTAGCGACGTCTACGACGACGGCCCATGACCGCCTTTAACGAGCAGTGCTCAGACGCCGGCAACAGTCCCATCTTCGGATGAAGCAGCGGTCTGCTTCTCCGCCTTCGAGCAGCAATCACCATTGCTGATACCTCATCAATGTTTACCTCACCAACGTTTTGGTCTGCCTCATTTTCACTTGCACCTGGACTCTCCACTATTAAACTGAAATACACCCTTATGCACTTTCAGGTACAGCACACCGGAAGCAGACTTACTCGATTGGCAGTTCGTCATCAATATCATGAAATGGAGCTCGATTGGTAGAAATAACCCCCATGTCAGACGCGCGTACAGCTGTTTACGTCTCTTTTCGACACAAAGCGCTGTTTTACTACGGTACAACAGGACGTATAAACTGCTCGAACAATTAAAGGATCATTTTAGCTTACTTACTTGTACCAATATTGAAACGAGTCAAAAATTTCCACCCTTCTTGAAAGAAGGCAGATATTTACGAGCCACGAAACTGGTTTTACCAGCAAAATCTAGGATTCACCAGAGCCAGTCATGTTTCTGCGCAGCTTTCATTCCAAAATCATTCTCATAGCAATTTGCACCCCTTTGCACTTGGCCGCCTAGGTAATAATTTATTCAGGTCGCTGCTCCGTACAATTATTAAGCTCGCAATTCTAGACTGAAAATTGGATTATAATGTTAAGTTTCCCTTTAGCTACGTTTCAACACCTTCACTTCACAGCAGCCTTTGTTTCATAACGTTTCTTGTTTAATTTGCAACTATCGCACATAACAACGTGGCGACAGTAGCGAAGTTTTTGACTTTTCGACTTGTGTTGATCATTACACCCATCAGCTAGCTGTTCAGATGATCTAGATTAATCGTGACCATAAAATGCGCTCACATCCGACTGCATGGCCATATCTTTAGTCCATTCTGATGCAATGCTGGCTTCACAACGAAATGTCATTCGGGAAGGTGGTAGTTCACATAGATGACTGAAAGCTATTAAAACACTGATAGGTCAACAGAAAATATGCCACTCCGAATATCAAATTAAGAGCAGATACTAGCCGAATTTTGGAATATCAGATAGATATTGACCGAATTCTAATCCGGCAAATCATCAAACATATCGAGGGAAGCTGTTTATGACCAAAGTCGAATGGTCCAACCAGAAGACAGTGAAAAGTGGCACCCGCTGAAATCTGTCTGATGTTTCTGTAAATATAATCATTGCTATTTCGCAATAAATATAATTCTTCTGCATACGTATAGTTCTGCGTATGACGAAAACTGGTAATAAAGTTTAGAAGCTGGTAGACCCTTAAAAGTTTAATTAGCGCTACTACACTGATGCAGCCATATGGGAACACACCATAACTTATATTTAGTCAATGACTCGCTACTGGTTTGTTGTACCAAAGCACGTTGAGGTGAATTTTTTATTTAAGGGAAATAACGGCAATGATTAACGGCTATTTTACGATTCAAATGCGGCACCTCTGAAGTTCGTAGTCGATCTTTTGCCACTACTCACGATCGTTTGCTAAGTTCCTTTAGAGTTTAGGTGCCGAGTTCTTGTCCCATGTGCGGTATTAAACTTTTATGACTTCCGCCAACTCCGCTGAAAACAAAATTTACCCACTACGTTTTAACCAACTGAGGTGTAGCAAGCCGTTAACTGAAAAACAATTCAGACAGCGCAATATTCTGCGTGGTAAAACCATGACGCGATGGTAGAATACCATATGGGGCATTTGCTTTACGGCTGCAACACGTTGCTGTTCATCTGACAGCGGGCTAAAAATTAGCACAAATTAGCAGCAAATCGTAATTAAAAAGAATAGATGTTTCACTACTCAGAACTTGCAGAATCGCTCGACAGCTTTTGCCTTAACGCTGAAAAATAAATTAAATTCTAAACCATCAGAAAAAAGGGGAATATAATCGGCTTCAATGACCACTGAATCGAATGTGAATTTGCGATGGTGGAATGCACCGTATCACTGCACGTATTCCTCTCCGCAGTATGCGCGATTTGTGGATATATGCCCTTCAATCATGTCTAAGCTACAGCATGCTAGAAATTCGGAAATTCTGTCATGGAAGACACGATTGCAAATTTTTCTTTCGCGACGCAATAAACCGAAGCTGTTCTTGAGGAAGAGTAGCCACACTGACAATGATTAGAAAATCTCAGGTTCGCAAAATTTAGGGCTTTTGGAAATCTATCGAAGCCCACGCAAATCATAGCTTGTTTAAAAACATGCGAAAAGGATGACGGCGAAACTAAAATCACGTAATGTCGTAGAAGATTGCAGTTAACTGTAGACAAGGTCTTCCAGACGAATGCAAATGTTCACGACGGTCTGCGCTATCACCTTCGTGATGGTAACTCTGACAAAAACATGGAAACGAATGACCGACAAAGTTTGAAAACCAATTCATCGCTGCCACTGCACAGACACCGTAGCTCCTCGGGCATAACGATTCAAATACAAATCACTTCTGAATGTTAGTTCTCCGCAAAAGTCAACGAAGCTGAAAATATCCTCAAAAACCGATGCCAAACAAGCTTTTTCTTTATAAAAATGCAAACTAAATAGAACAAAAAATAAAAGGATAGCCTTGCGTCGCCGGCCAATTGTATAACAATAACACTGCTAACAGAACTCAATTCCATAACGTTCAGATCTTCGCCGGTACTGCATTGTGTGCAAACTGACTGACGGATATTCGAAATTTGCTACTCAAAGTAGAAATGCACAAGCGATAAATTCATGAGGATAGCATCATCACCTAATAGCAATTAAACCACAGCTTTATGAAATATTGCAGAATGTTTGGATAATACTGATATTTTATAAATCTGACCAAACCAGCCCAAGTCATCAACATCAACGGCCATTCAGAAATTGCCAAGATTTATTTGGAAATAACAGTTACTCTTAAACCTTTCATTTACTTGCTTTGAGTCATTTACTTGTTAGAGACATTAGTTTTAAGAGATCGATCAATTTATAATCATCCCTGCCTCATAACTCAATCATCTGAAACTTAATGACAGGCTGCTACGGTAAGACAAGCGGATCCATTGAACACAATTAGCCTGATGTGTCAAATCAAACAGTGCTAACGATTCAGTAACCGAATGTCGAGATCTGCATTAATGAGAGTACCGTAGGATCAGCTTATCAATACTCAGTCATTATAATAACTTTTCCTGAATGTCAAATGTAAAAAATGAGCAGTTCGACACTAAACAACGTTAACAGCAAAACAGCTGAACTTCCGTTAGCAATAAATATTTAAACAATTAAAACATAAATCCGTCATACAGTGCCACTCTATATATCTGAACAGGCAAGAACGTAATCCTGGTCAGAATCATCATTTTCATCCGTATCGTTGATTTCCAGCAGATCCTCATAATTCACCGTTTGTTTAAGCATGTCGAGTCCAGTGATCTCTTCGAGAAGAGAAGGTTCGTTCAAAACCTTCATCACAAACTGCGTCTTTTCCTTGCTAAATCGGTCGATGACCGATGAACTGCAGGCAATGCACGCAGAATAGCGCTCAACCGAATGAAGGTTCTGCTCAAAGCGATTCAAATATCCACGAATCTGGTGCGGTACAATACCGAGGCAAGCGTTTCCATCGTTATCGGCCCCAGCAGTTGGGGCAGCGCCTCTAAAAGTTAAACAATGTGCTAAAAGATATATCAAAATATGTTTTAAGACTAACACAGACTAACAAAGGGCTGAACAAGACAAATATGACACAGCGGATTCAAAAAATTTTGGTACGAAATTATGACCTCAACCCTTGCCTTGCCTTCCTAAAACCGCTTAATTGAAAACATGCTAAGCTAAACAGGAAACTGCGCAAACAGACGACATCCAATCTAGCGTTTCTGAAGAATCGCATGACCCATCAATCAGAAGGAACGCTGTGGCTAAGGATTGATTATACAGAAAAATTAAGGTTTCTACAATCAGCATAGATATTACGTTAATTATCACGAGTGGCTCTGAACAACTAACTTTGGTTCAACAAAGTCTGTGTAATTTACTTCCTGACTTTTAACGAGTTGTTACTAATCTAAATGAAAATTCATTTTATGAAATTCGAACCTCCCTAAAACGTTCTTTTCCTGTGTTCTGCTATCTTCAGAAAGAATGCCATAACGCTAATGCCATAATGTGAACAGCTAAAAAGCGAGTAAATGGTTTATTAAACCAGTTAGAATGTAGACGGTGTGGAATATGCTCGAAAATACGACATGCAAGCATCTACAAAGACTGACCCAGTTTGCTTCACATCGATTGCTGTTGTTGATTTGTCATCGTCATCTGAGCCTAACAGCGCTTAAACAGTAGAATAACCCATATTTATGACATCTGGCCGTTAGGAGTTCTGCCTTAAAGAGCTTTGCCACGTTCTGAATTGTCCCCTCACAGCTCTGCGGCCAGTGAGCGGTTCCACACCAATAAATGTGCATTGAAAAACGCCTATATCATTGCCTCTCTAGAACATTCACCGTAAGACAGACTGCATCTAGCGTTGTCTTATTTTGCATGGCTGAAGACTACATCCTTCAGGAATCGCATGCAACGCTGGAATGTCAGTAGCCGACTACCAGGTTATGGGGTCACTGACGCACGTCTGGTGTCATTGGCAGCTTGGTATAAAAAGCAAACTCCGTTATTTCAATCGCTGATTAACACGTCTTACTTAATGGCTGTAGAATTTGACCTACATTTCAGAAGGCTTGAATCTTATATATGAAAAGCCAGCAATAGCTTTTGAATATCAAGTGGAAATGTTGCTTGACGAAGACAAAGTGAACAGACCTACCTCAGGTTGAACGTTATATAACTGCAAACATAACAGCTCTCATCGGACGGGAACAATCTAGAAAAACGGAAGCTAATAAAGCGCTAATAGCGGCCCCAGACGTAAAGCGGAGAATTAACCTCTTATCTCCGCATAGACACAACCCCATACATCCGCGTGGAACTCCAAGAAACAATTAGCCAAAGCGGTCTCGCATAGTCGCGAAGGACAGTTCGTCTGTTTGGTGCTAACACGACGTTCGGCGCAGCTTTGGTTAGTTTTGTATCTTTACTACAAAGGGCGGACAATTTTCTAGCCTTGATCTTGATACTGACCTGGGTGAAAGCAGTAATGATGAATATGCTCACATATTTCATGTCATTAGTTCGTCCTGGTGCTGAGTTTTAAAGTCTATGCTGCAGCAGGCAGATCTATGATTAAGTCTTAAACAAAAATGTTATTCGTTAAGCAACATTTGGCAACGGTTCGACGAAGTCATTCAGTTGCGAGAACTAGCAATTTCTAACACATATATCCACAAGGGGTGTGTACTCCTCTGATATGACATAAATGATAAAATATAGTGGTGCCGAGTAATGCATGCAGTCATTCAAGAAGCATCTATCTACTGCCGATGCTAAACTACTATACAGTCGCAGCTTGCCAAAACGTCGTACTACGCATCGCGAATTAAAGAAGAGGTGCCTTAACGGTGTGCAGCTTAATCTCACAGAATTATGCCTATTACTACATGGACCGCAATTCATACTGGATGTCATCGTGAGACTATTGCTGGTATATCCCGTTCTGGAGGCATCCATTAGGGAAGCACTCTCCTTAAGATTAGTTATAGATTTAA